CAGCCATGCTTTACACCACACCCCACCCCACCCCACCCCACTGCACCCCAGTGAATCTTCCATGTTTCCGCAATACCATTTATTTAAAGACAGATTGACAAAACTGATTGAAATGATCTTTCTGTCTGATTTTAGGATTACAATTTAATTTTTTATGAATGCAGTGCCTATTCTGGTCACAATACCAAAGAGTCTGTGCTTCACTTGGCAAGGTAAGAAAGGGAATTTTATTTAGGGTGAAGTTACACATTATGCTTAGACCATACTAAGGACCCTTAAACTATGAGTGTGCATTCATTAAAGCTAGCTAACTCATGCTAGGTGCCCTCTGAGTGTCTCAGTTGCACCACTTTAGGTAAGGGTTAACTCTGGGCTCTGCTACCTAGCATGTGTTCAGGTAACTTCACTCTCCTCTGTGGAGATAAAACAAATAGTCCTCCAGCATCCCAGGATGCATTGCTCCCAGCCCCCACTCCCCAATCCAGAGCAGGGATAGAGTCCAGGTGTCCTTGCTCCTAGCTACACCCCTGCTCACCAGTCCTCTAATGGCAAGTCAAAGCTGTGCAGCAGTAAATGGTATTGTCCCTTAAAGTGTGGCTGCTCACAGTACATTCCTACATAAATACCATTTAACATTCCACAGCTATAGTATGGTCTACATGCAACATGTAACTTCACCTTATTTATTCATTTATATATTTTGCCTCTCTTCCTCCCTCCCCCCCAGTGATAAGTGAATAAAATCAAGCTAGGCATACAAATGCAAAATAAGCAGAAAACTCAATGTCCAATTTATAGAAATAGTACTTCCATAAGTAAGAAGTGCTTACTCCTGTCCTGTTGATGAGTGAATGAATTCTGATTTCTAAAATGACTTGCCCCTCATAGGAACCAGCCTCCCCTATGTTCTAGTGGCTTTTCTTGCACCTTTAAAATTGGTCAGTAGCCATGAGCTTGAAACTCTAAATAGGCAGACCCCTGTTCCCATTCAAAGCTCCACTGAAGTCAGTGAGCCAGACAGACTCGGTTGCACAGTTGAGGTTTATGATAGGAGGAATGCATGAAGCATTACAGTTCTCCGTTATTGCTCTGAGAGACATGGGGAATGCACACTGCTGTGCCCCATAACAGGGTTTGCTGGCTGTGCTTCCTACTGCCACCGTATTGGTTCAGTTCCATTGACTGAGTGGGTGATCAAGGGAGAGATTTTCATTTGTACCTGAGGGATTTTTGCCCCCAAATTTCCACTGAAATGCAGTGGGTCTTGTGCTCCTCAGTCTCATCAATGCATTTAAAAATAGGACTATCATAAAAAAACTACCATATTTTCTTGCATACTGTCCTCACCATGCAGGGAAGGCAGAATGAAGAAAAGATATTTTTAGCATCATGGCTGAATGATGACTCTGTGGAGCAGAAGCACACTTTGCTCTTCAGTATGGCGGCTCACCCAAAAGCTGCTGCTGATTTGGCAGTGGCCATGAAAGGGTTAACACTGCTTCTGATGCTGAAGAATGGACTCCATCCCTACTGCATGCTATGGGACTGAAGCACAGCCTCCAGCAGCCATTCCAGCACAGAAATCAGCTTCCCTGCTTAAGACAGACACCCCAATTTTGAACAGCTAATTTTGGGGTGAAAAGTCTGTGTGGGTTTTCAGTAAATGTGGTAAATTTGTTAATACTGAATGGCAGATGCTTACAAATGCATTTCCTGGCACAGATTTCAAGTGACTTATCATTCCTACAGAAGTCTTTGAAACTTCTGGGATGTGTGAACATATTCAAGGAACACTTGGTTGGCACAATAGAGAACCTGATCCTCCCTAGACAACACTAAATAGAATTCACCACTTAGATGCCCAGAAACATTCACAAGTTGCTGTTGATCAGCTCTATCAAGCAAGTGAACCAAGTACTATTTTCAGTTTTGTACCATTAATTCATTAATTTCACAAAATTCAGTCACTTCCAGTGATTCTCTCAGATACCAGTGGAGATTAGTCAGGTGGTGATGTACCCTAGGTGAGTGTTTAATCTTCTAGATATTATTGACTTTCTCTAAGCAGCTTCTTTTTATATTTCTCTCCTAGACTGTTAAAGGAGCAAGAAGATAAAGTGAAAGAAAGAACAGTTCAACTGCAGCATGACTCAAATAAAAAGTCTTGTTGTGGTAGGCAGTAAAAGGCTGGATCCTGTTGGACAAAAATCACATATCTGTATCACACTACAGTACATCATCAGATCTGTCTTGTGCTCCAAATATGGCTCACGCTGTGTTGTAAAGGTAGCAGCAGAAGAACTTAAAGAATGTAGTACACTCCTGCCTTCACTCCTTTTGCAAAAAGATGTGAGGGTCTTAGTTAGGATTACATAGACAAAAGTATGTAAGGCAGTGACACTCATTGTCCTGTGTTTGCACAACTTTTAGCACCATGGATACCTCATCCATGTTTGGCTACTAGAGGTTACTGCAATACAAATAATAGATAAGAATAATAATAACAAATCTACTTACAATAAAAAGTGAATTCTCACAGGGCTGATCCTGTAGACTAGTGGTTCTGAACCTTTTTAAGACTTGAAGCACCACTCAATAGACTTGAGTTACCCTTTGGAAAATGCTACCTCTTAGTTTTCACTCTTTCTATGGTCAAAAAAAAAATAGAGCAGGTCTTCTGTTGCAAAGAATTCAGAAAGCCCACAGCAGGTCAGAATGGTTTTTAACACTATGGATTCTTATCTGAAATTTCTGGGTTTATTTGGTGACTCATGTTTGCACGCCTAACAGTGCTAACATTGCATAGCACCCCACAGAACCTTTGAAGGGATCTTAAGGCACCCCAGAGTGCCATGGCACCGTGGCTGAGAATCACTGCTGTAGACCTTGACTTGAATAGGTGAATTAATTTCAGTCCAAGATACTATATGCCCTTATCTTTTGATGAGAATGAGATCTATAATCATGTATCTTGAAATCTTGGCTTCATATGGACCTTTCTTATTTAATTTTTAAAAGCCTAACACATATTTAACTATAAAATTATGTGTTAAGGTTTTAAGTGTAAATATACAAGAGTTGGAGGATGGAAAAGTCAGGATGCTCATCATAATGTTCACTAATTCACACACTACACCTCTACAGTATGTTGATTTCTAGTTATGCTGCATTTAGGACCTTGTTGTGGGACCCTAACTTGCAGTGGAAAGTGATTTCTCTGTGGTTTCACAAGCAAGTAACCTCATGTATGCTAGCATGGGTTTATCCAGTAGCCTATACAGTTACCCATGTTTCTAGATGTTACTAGTAGGTGGCTGTTGCATTACTGGAACTCTGCTACAGCAGCTGTGCTGCCAGGAGGCCTCAGCTGTTAAACAGACTGGAACAGTCAGAAGAAAGCACACACACATCTACATCCGCTGTCAGCTGTGGGGCAGTGGTAGGTACCTTCTGTTGTTTGCCAAGCCAGTTTTATTCTGTTAGCATAAAGAAGGGGTCCTGCCACTACTGGGGAGCTGTTTGTGCCAATACGCTCACAGAGTTGTACAAGTAGAGTTATATAATGCAGACTAGGTCTGATGCAGCTGCTCTGCCTCACACAAACTCCATCACAAAAGGCTTAGCACAGGATATTCTAAAAATTTCAGAAACAGTTGCTTAAAATGAGACTACTTGGTCTCTAATTTGGGACAGGAACTTTTCTACCCCAAAAGTATCTGACACGCAACATCAGGAGCACAAATCTTACTGCAGTCTGATTGACCTTTGCTCCAAAATTCCTTCAGTGCCTTTAAAGTTGCCCTGCTCATGTACCTTAAATGGATGTCCTCATTTTCAAAAGTGTTGAGCCATCCAGCAGTTGGCTTTGATCTCATGTAGAATCTAGTACTCGAAAAGCCAGCCTTTTTGGGAGGTATCTGTTCTTTTAAAACCTTGACTAGAGCAACACGTGAAATGGAATGCCATCGTGTCTTTTGGATGCTCTGGTTGGATATGAACGAGAAGAGCAAATTCAGAGCTGGTCAACCAGCAAGTGCTCAAGTCATCCTGGTTGGCACTCTTCCTTCTCATACATAGTGGTACTTTTAAGAATGGTCTGTAAAATACAGATGAGCGTTGGAGATAAACAGCATATTTCTGTGCCTATTTTATTAAACTATCCGTAGCAAAGCCAAAGACAGTTTCCTACAAAAGAAGATGATGATTTATACAGTATATTTGCAATCCATTTTCTAAATGTGTCACAGTTTTTTCGTTTAAATAATGAATTGATTTCAAACAAATGTAATTAAAAATAAGAGATTGTGTGTTTATAAAAGACTCAGAGGCTAAACACTAGTTATACATGTAGCTATTTTAACTTATTTTTTAATAAAACCGTTGCAGTAATCAGAGTGCTCTTGGAACTTTTGTGTATCCAAATTGCCTGATGCTAAGATAAATCTCTGTGGGGCAGGGGTTGGCTAATTTTTTATCACCCCTTTCCATACTCAGAACCCATCTTGATACTCCTTCCATTTCATTGGGATCCAGCCAGGATCCCTTCTCTGGGTTTTAATTACATCCCTCTCCCATTCAGCCTTTAATAATGGGCAAGGTGGTTTATGATTGCCTGGTGCCTAATTTTGAATCCTGCCAGCCCCAGTGGGTCACAATGTACAAGTTGTCTCTATGTCAAAGAACAGTACACATCTTCCATAATCAAATTGGGATCAGAGGATGGACAAGCAGAGACTCTGTGGATTAGGATCCAAGCGGGGTCAGGGGGAAAGGGACCTGGTGGTGGGGGTCTACTACAGGCCTCCGCACCAGGAGGAGGAGCTAGACTGAGAATTTTGATGCAGCTCTCAGAGGCTCTGCGGTCTAGAGATACGGTAGTCATGGGGGACCTTAACTACCCAGACTTATGCTGGGAGGAGCAATCAGCTAGATCTAACCACTCTTGCAGGCTCTTAACCTGTATCCAGGACCTCCACCTAACACAGGAGGTAAGGAGTCCCACCAGGGGTAACACCTTGCTTGAGTTAGTGATGGTCACAGGGGACGACCTGGTGGGGGACCTGTAGAATGAAGGTAACCTAGGGGACAGTGATCACCAAATGATAAAATTCACTATCCAGAGAAGGATGGGCATTATACCCAGCAGGACACAGGTGCTATACAGCTGAGTCGCATCTTACGTGGGGGTTACGTTCTGAAGTCAGCACGTAAGGCAAAAATTGCATATAGTTGAAATCGCCCTTCCCGCCAGGCTTCGGCGCCGAGCAGCTGCCACCACCGCAGGGCACAGACAAGGCAGGTGCGGCACCGCACAGCCCATGCGTGCAGTGCAACAGCTGCATCTTCTGCACACATTCCTTCTCCCTCTTGTCCTCCGCCACCTCATCCAGCCAGGGCAGCCAGCTAAGCGTGAGGGAGCTGCCTCCCCCAAGCCATGCAGGTGCATGCAGGCAATACCACGTGGCACCGCACTATGCACCATGCCCTGGCTGGCACCTGGCGGCCAGCCCCAGCAGCCAAGCGTATATAGCTGAATTCACATAAGATGCGACTCGGCTGTACTTTAAAAAGGCTGACTTAAATAGGCTTAGGGGACTGGTTAGCAGGGTACTAGGAACCAAGAGCCCAGATGCTTTGGGGGTCCAGGATGGGTGGTCATTCCTCAAAGAAACCATCCTTTGGGCTCAGAGTAAGACCATGCCATAGCAGAGGTAAGGGAGCAAAGGGGCCAGGAAGCCCCTTTGGCTAACCAGGATCATCCAGGATACCTTAAGGGCAAAAAAAGAAGCATACAGGAAGTAGAAGCAGGGGGTAGCTAGCAAGGAGGAATACACTTCCTTGGCCCGCACCTGTCCACATCCCTCTTAAAGTGCAGTGCCCAGAACTGGATGCAGTACTCCAACTGTGGCCTGACCAGTGCCGCATAGAGGGGGAGGATCACCTCCTTGGACCTGTTTGAGATGCATCTGTGGATGCATGACAAGGTGTGGTTGGCCTTCCTAACTGCATGCCCACACTGCCGGCCCATGTTCATCTTGGCATCAGTAGTCACTCCAAGATCCTTTTCTGCCTCTGCTCTAATGAGAAGAGAGCTCCCCAGCCTGTAGGTATGCTGCTGGTTCTTCCTCCCCAGGTGCATCACCTTGCACTTGTCAGTGTTGAAACCCATCCTGTTCTCATCCACCCACCCCTGTAACCTGTCTAGGTCTGATTGCAGCCTATTCCTCCCTTCTAGCATGCCCACATCCCCCCACATCTTAGTGTCGTCTGCGAATCTGAACAGGGTGTGGACAACCTGGAGAGGGTCCAAAGAAGGGCCACTCATCTGATTAGAGGCCTGCAGGGAAGGCCCCATGAGGAAAGGCTAAGGGACCTTAACCTCTTCAGCCTCTTCAAGCGAAGGCTGAGAAGGGACCTTGTGGCAGCATACAAATTCATAAGGGGAGAGCAACATGAAGTAGGCCATGATCTGTTCACCAGGGCACCCCCTGGAACAATGGCCATAAGCTACTGGAGAGAAGGTTTAGGTTGGACATTAGAATAAAGTTCTTTATGGTCAAGGTTGCTAGGATCTGGAATGGGCTCCCAAGGGAGGTGGTGCTTACCCCATCCTTGGGGGTCTTCAAGAGGAGACAGGACAGGCACCTGGCTAGGTTCACATGACCCCAGGTTTGGTGCCCCTTTTCTTGCCTGCTAGGGGCAGGGGGTTGGACTAGATAGCCCACTGAGGTCCCTTCCAAATCTAGAATCTATGAATCTATGGAAGTTAAGGTTGACCACTGAAGTATTTAAAGAACTGAAAGACAGTGAAGAGTAGCAGCATAGTGTTCCACGTAAGGGGAAGGGGAATGTCCCTTTGCCTTCCTGTGGGGGCCTGCATCGCTGGGAAGGTTCCTGCTGCAATGTTGTGCTGGGCTCTGAAGAGTGTGCCTCATCCACACCTTGTTTTCAGCCACCAGCTCTGAATTCCACTCAGGATTAGGTTTTATTAGTTTAAATAGCAGTTTTGCCCATTAACTACAGGGGGGGGGATGTATCATCCACATTGCCAGGGCCTAGTAAAAAAACATTTCTGCTTTTCTTTAGGAGGGAGTTCCATAAACCAGACAACAACACTTACAACGTGTTCCCCCCAGCCAGCCTCTCTCTACTTCCACAGGAAAGATTTGGGGCCTGAATCTGAGCTGGGTGACACCAGTTATAATGGTTCATAACTTCAGAATTGGGCCCTAGTTTCTGGCTCCCTGAGAAGCACTCCCCGAGTAAGTGTGAATGACCACAGTTAGGCTGCCTGCTGTTATTCCTGCAAGAGCTTTAAAGGTGAAGATTATGACCTTGCATGAAAAGAAACAAATTGGAGGGAGCAGACAACAGGTGCATTGCATCCCTTGCATTTACTCATGTTCAGGAGATCAGCTTGTGGGTGTTAAGATCTACATCATTAGAAATGAATGAGATGCTGATTCAGAGTCCTTGAATGCAGATATCCGAACACTGCAGAACATTTTGATTACAGATTTCTGCTTTTCCTTTTCCTGTCAGAAATTTACTAATAGTCTGTGAGTCTAGTTCAGCATGGGGTGTGACTTCTTTCAATTTAATGGTGTTCTTCCATGGGTGAACCTTATGCCTACGTGCCCTTGGAATGAAAGAA